TGCAAACTCTACCCAGAAAGGTCCCCGGACCGGGATTTGGACCGGTGACCTTCTTGCTGAGAGGCATCAGCTCTACCAACTGAGCCACCATGCCACCCTGGAGCTCCAACATACAGAGTGTTACAATAATCAAGTCTAGAACTGATAAAAGCATRAACAGCCTTCTCCAAGTTGCAAYGGTTCAAAAAGGKTTTGACCTTTTTTAAAAGGTCAAACATGATAAAATCCAGACCAGACAACAGAAGCATGTTTATCAAAGTGTAAAGCCTTATCAAAGGTCACCCCAAGGTTTTTCCTCACAAATAGTCAAATTTCCCAGACAGTTGCATCTTTGTCACCAAATAAAATCCATTCTGATTTACTGTCATTGAAAACCAGGAGGCTCTTGTTTAGTCAATGTTTGATTGCGGACATGCAGTCAAAGAGCGGAAGCAGTGGATTACTGGATCCTGGCCAGTAGATAAATATGCAAATCATCTTCATAAAAAGGAAATTGGATATTGTGGTGGCTTATGATAGATCCAAGTGGCAACATGTACAAGGAGAAGAGCAGAGGGCCCAAAATGGAACCTTGGGGCACCCCACACAGGAGAGGAAGAGGAGCCATTGAACAGGATGGAGAAGGTTCAGTCAGATACAGTAAATAAGATGTGGTTCACTTCAAAGCTGTGTGATATGATGCACTGAGGAGGAACCTGGCTGTTAAGATGTGAGCAGCATTTACAACCACCTATGACAAGAATCTCAGCGTGGCTCCTGTTGGTGCTGTGCTGGTCCCGGCAGGTGCAGACGTAGATGCCAGCATCACTCGGCTGGATGCGGGGGAAGTACAGTTCTGCTCCTGCACACACAGATGAGCATGGCACAGTTTCAGCATCCATATATCTTAGAAACATTTTCTGGACCATGTTTTAGGCACGTCTTTCCACACCTTGTTTGAGTCTTTCAGCACTGTTAGAGACAGGCTGTCCATCCAGTCTGGACCAGTGGTAGTAGTGTGGAGGAGCTCCAGACACCTGACATCGCAGAGTGACCGAGCTGCCCTGTGCTGCTTTGAAGCTCTCTGGATAGACCTTTACCACCAAGGAGGCTGCAGCTGCACAACACCAAACACAAATACAAACAATAAAAAGAAAACTTCAGACACACTGTCATTTCAGACTATATCAATGTGGACTCACAATTAATCCTTGTCTTTCTTCATTTACTAGTAATGTGAGGCAGTGTGAAATTTAAGCACAGACACTAATTCCTTCAGTACTTTGTGACTCCTGACGAGAGCAGTGTTGTGTTTTAGCATCCGCTTTGGGTGTTATCATCCACTGAATGGGCGTTATTAGTTGTTAGCAGACCCATAGAATGGCTTCAGAATGTCCCGACTGTGGCTTCTAGTGGGCTCTCCGTCCCATATAATGGACTGACAACATCAGAACCAGCTGGTTAATATGAGGCATAAATCCAGTAAGGTTAATTTTAGAGAAAATGTCATGGGCTTCCATAAAGTAGACTATTGTTGCAGGCCCAATGTAGGGCAATGGTAGAGTGCAGGACCAGACAGCGGGAGAGCCAGGATTGAGACCAGGCACGGGCAGCAAGAAAACAGCAAGACCCACCCCACGACAAAAAACTAATTAAAATATGTTTTGGTTATTTACACATCCAATGTCATTGATATATTAAMCCACTAGGGGGCACTGTCGGGACAGTCTGAAGCCATTCTGTGGGACTGATAACCGCTAATAACRTCCATTTAATGGACTGATAACATCAGAAYYYGCTGGTTATAGCAACAACATTACCATCCTTTGGTTGACACTTCTCCCTCCGCTGTGGGTTGCCAACATATCCAGGAGAACAACTAATGATGAAAAACACACAAAGTTTCAATTATGTCTGTGTTGCTGCCAGTATTTTATACATTTCTTTTCTAAACATGCCACAGTGCTGAAGGAGGTCACATGTTGTGAGGAGATAGAGCAGCCTTACTGTTCACAGTACTGGCCAGTGTATCCAGGCTGACAGGAGGTACACTGGTAGTCTCCATTACCCAGGCTCTCACAGGTGGGAGAGAACCTGGTAAACAGGTTACAAAGACAATAAACTGAAGTTGAGCTCAAATAATAAAGTGTGAGARTAATTCTTTAAACAAAGAGACATACAGATGGAAATGGAAGGAAAATGAACTCTAATTTYTAACTTCAACATCTAAGAGCCTGACTCCTAATTTACACTACATGCGTTCCGGTTCCGCTCCGCTCCGGTCCGACCTCCGCAGCAAATACACACCCGTTATAACCAATGAGAGTGTTTACACTGGCTGCACAGGGTGGCGGTGTCAACTTCTAAAGATTACGTCGCACCAACAGGAAAAGAAACGAGCACAACATCCGTATTTTCAAAATAAGACACTTTTAGGCTGGATAATTTGTCGGAATAATGTCAAAATTGTGGCTATATTAATAAATTTACGGATATATTTCTACACAAATGCTGTCAGAATATATTGTTCTGTTTGGGAAGCAGATGGAAACATGTAGCATGAAGCATATGTGTACACACATGATACTTGTGGATTTTATTTTGAAATCAGAAGTTGCAGAAAGACAACAGAGAGACAGTTTCAACATAGATACCAAAAGCCTTTATATTGTTTTCAGCGTGTTTGGAGTTCGTCTTTCACAGAATTAATTATTTTTTGCTGTGACTTCCACACTTATCACTGAATTTATCGTGCGATCTGCTTCCTGCACGTCTGTCGGACCGGAGCGGACCGGAGGTAGTGTAAACTGGACTTGAAACGCACAGCTGTGACCTGCGCAGTGGAGCCGTAATGCATGTAATGTAAATTAGGGGTGAGAGTTTTCTGCAAACAGAGGAGCTWCGCACAGAGCTGTCTGGAGTTTCGACTGAAAGTGGAACGTGAGCTCATGSCGTGTGTGCCGTCACTTACTGGTTGTCTGGGTCAGTGTGAGGGCAGGCGCAYGGCTGACAGTCCACCGGAGTTCCAGCAGTCGGGTCACCAAAGAATCCAGAGGCACACTGCTCACAAAACTCCCCCTGCGTGTTGTGCAGGCAGCTCTGCAGAGACATGCTCCATTTTTACACATCTGAACATCCCATCAGTGGCCTGCATTCTATGCTAGTCTTGCACTTCTTACCGTGCAAATGCCAGTTTCAGGGTGGCAAGTGTCCGAGTGTCCGTTACATTCACAGAGCTCACAGTGACCCAGGTACAAACCTCCTCCAGTACGAGTGTATCCAGATGAACAGTCCTAAAAACAACATTTATTGAGCTTGTCATTTTATAGAAATCAATGTGCATATAAAATACATGTGTTTTACATCCTTTTACACCTAAAGCCAGTATCTCACTGGGCTGTGACTCTTGGAGACAAGTTGGTAAGGTAAGAGGCAAAAACTGCAATAAAATCAACAAGTTGCTGAATTTTGAGTGTTTGCGACCAAGTGACTAGTAAGCCACAGGACCACATTTATTCAATAGCAGCCCAGTAAGATAAAGGAAGGTGTTTATCTCTTTAGATATGCCCTGATGCATCTCAGTAATCCAGGTAGAAAAAAGGAGAGGAGGAGGAGAGACAAAATGTTTCATTAAAGGGGCAATATCATGTAAAATCAAAGTTTTGGGTTGTATATCATGTTATAATGTTATACTTTCATAAAAAAAACATGCCCAAAGCCTTGCTTTGACTCATTCATGCATGTTTGAGAAATCCTGCAGCATTTTTAGTAAGCTGTGCTGAGGAGCAAAACGACAGGTGGGGACTAGAACACAGTAAAAAAAAAAACTCAGTGTTAAATTTGCAGTGTTAAACTTTCAGAGTTAATTTCAGCTCCCGAGTGTTATTTAAACAATTTCTGACTAAACTGACATCCAGTGTTGGTGTTAATTCACAGAGTTGATTTCCTCAGTGTTGTCTCAACACTGGACAGTGTTAAATAAGCTCCGCCCACTGTTAAGTATCGATTAACACTTAACAGTGTCGTTATATAACACAACGCAGTGTTGAAAGAAGTATTCTTGAAAAGCTCTGCCCTTTTCCTCGAGGACCAGAATTTTCTCAGCAAGGAATGCTGGGTAATCTTGTAGAAATTATGTGTTTACATGTCTAAGACTATTAAAAATGTTCATGAGTGTAAAAAAATCTTTTTCTGGTCAGTTTTCTTGTTCAGTTTTTCAAGTTTAACCCTCCTGTTGTCCTCATTTTCTGTATACACCCTTTGTCCTCCGGGTCAAAATGACCCGTCTCCACTAAAT